CCTGGCACCTGGATTACCATCGATTTTCCGCCGAACTCCTCCTCCAATTTATGGTTTTTGCGTCTTGATGTATTTCCAACAAATGGAGACAGTGTGACACCTCCGAACGGCTGATGGTTTTTTATGAAGAGCTTTTATATCATATGATAAATACGCTCGAAGGGGTTGACATTCTCTGCCGAGGGGCGACCGCAGTTAGAAAATTTAACTGAATTTTTTATTTAAATTAATTTGTTATAACTTTTGGATGTTGGCCGCACCAGGATTTGGACCTGAAGAGCTAGAAAGCCAGGTTTAAAGCTATACAGATAATGCCCGATCAGTACATTAACAGTGGGTTTCAATCCTTTACTCAATACACTCGGCGGAATAATGTAGAGATTTGTCTCGAGTACTCTTTTATATGGATTGGGCAAAGCACCACAAGCCACCACCAACCATTCGCAAGGCATGCACTCATCATGTCTTTGTCATCTTCTTCAAAACCCTCATTTCGAGAGTTTCTAGTCGTCATCGTCAAGGGCTCCACACTACTTGGCAGGAAGGTAATAATAACTTGTTTAAATTTGCCTTTATTCATTGAGAGAGGACTTTAACTTTTCAAGTACCTACTCAGTACAAAGTAGCAACTCTTGGTAAGAGAGATTCTGCGTTGGATTTCAAGGCCCACATTGATAAACGAAATTATATACAACTTCAAAGTCACGATTATCAACAGTGACATGGGAGCAAAGATGATAATAAAAGCGATAAAATGTGAAAAGAAAAAGTACCGTTCTTTTTCATTTAGTACAAAACAATCACACACAATGGAGCGCAGTCAAACGTTCAACAATACAACGATGATTAAAGAAATTTAAAATAAATCTTCAAGAATATGCATATATATGTATGTAGGTGTTTGTTATTAATAAAACAACAATAAATGAAAAGATCAAGAAAATAATCTTTTAAGCTCAATTCCAAAGAAATTCACCAGAGCAAAATAATCAGAGAATATCCATAATCCCCAACCGACCACCGCACACCTCTCACAACCACAGCTGTTGCCATCACCGACAGCAGCAGCCGAATCAACAGCTTGCAATGGAAGATGAAAGCAAGTATGGCCACATGATCGCGCCGTAAAATCACAGCTGATTGACTGAAGTAAATTGTTTTGGTTGGCGAGTGAGCGGGTGTGACCTAGCGACAGAGAAGCAGAGAAGCGGTGAAGCGACAACGGTGTGCAATGCAAAGGGGATTACGTTGGAATGATAAATACTTATATTTTGTTATATGTTTCTTTGTACGTCTGTACGTATATATTGAGCACATGAGGTTACCGCTTCGCGAAATGACAGTCACCGCGAAAGTGCAATTAACACGGATTCGCGAACGAGCGGCGGCGCGCGGTTGGATGGCAAAGCGTTGTAGAACAATTAAAGTGGATAACCGGTTCGAGCGCGTTAGTGATGTATAAATGTATATTATTATATATACAGTATGTATGTATGTATAAACTCCTATTCATCGTAGAGTATGTACAATATATTCAAAGTGCAAAGTTATTTCTTTTACTGCTTTAATGGAATATCATAAAAATAATATGTACAGATAATATGTATGTGTGTATGTATAGTTACAAGCGCACAAGTGGAGCGGTAGAAAGAATGTGTTATCTGTGTTAATAAACAAAATTATTTGTAACTATGAATGTTTGTCATTTGAGAGGGAGGGCAGGAGAGGGGAATAAAGTAAGAGAAGTGAGCGAGCAATGGCAACCGAAAGTACTTGAAATTTTCTACAAGAAAATGAAATGAAGTGAGTGAAAATTAAAATGAATAAGAAAACCCAAATTCTGCCGGGACCGAAGTTTCAATGCCTGGTTATTAAAAATTTATTCAGAAAAAAATGCATTCCAACTAAAAAAGATAATTATTGAATTTCATCAAGAGCAGGAGAAAGACATTTTGTAGGTTATCCTGATTTGATTATTCATAATCTAAATTTTTACGTCACCCGGTGTAAAAAATTTATTTTTAGGAGGTGTTGTTGTTTTAATACTCGTCTGCACAAAGAGTAACGGTAGTTTGGAAGAGTTCAAAAATCTAAAACCAGCAACCAAATGTACAAATAAAGTCACATTTGTTAAAAACCATAAATTAGAGCTTTAGATACCCGGGTATGGAGCACTTTGAACAGCTCGATACTCCTTTGTTGCTCAACTGCTCAAATGAGAGTTTGAAATTTTTCAAATTTCAATTTTGCTTGTCAAAATTTCTCTAGTATTTAAATGAGTTTTACAATTTGCATAAATGCAATTTAAAATTATAGAAGAAAGTTCTGGGGAAAAAGTCAAAGTTTTTTTCTCGAGCTCAGGATCGAAAATTTTCGAACAATCAGGAACGAGTGTGCGGGTACTCGTTGCTCATGTGATCCAGCAGTTTGAAAATGTTCAATCAAAATCTTGAGCTCTACCTTGAATGAAAAACTTAGAAAAGGAACACAATTTCCATTGTGCAGGGCACCACCCTTTTTTAGGGTGAAAAAGATCTTTATATCTCAGAAACCACTGAACAATAGATAGAATTCGATAAAAATGTATACTTATAACATCTGACACGAATTGAATTTAGACGTCCTATACTCTCTAGTCTCATATAACGGTATCTTTTTATTCGATTCTCCGCTTGACTCAAGATCGAATCTTTAAAGCATTTTACTACAAAACTCAACCAAACTTGGCAGATACTCGTATGCTACTTTTGATGGAGACTTAAGTTCTGGTGGTCGCAATAGCCGAGTAATTAGCATTGCGTACTTCCATTCTGAAGACCTGGGTTTGAATTCTGGTCCAACATATATTCAAGCTAATAGAAAATTATTTTTCGAATTGGGACCACTTTCGAGTGTATTTCTGACACTAATTAAAGACTTCAGCCGCTTGGATGCGGCTCAAAATAAACTGTAAATTCTCCCTTTATTGGAAAAAATTGAGACGCATACCATAAATCGTAAGAGAAGCTCAGCCAAAAATCGTTTCTGCGGTTACATAATGTCACATATATATAGTAATAGAATTACCTCTGTTAGAGCTTCTATTTTTATTTATTTTTCTAAGTTCTAATATTAGGTTAAACCCAAACATAATCTTATTGGCAAAACTATTATATTTTATTATTAAAAATTTATGGAAATTTCATTAGGGTGAATATCACAATTATTGAGGTCCTAACCACATATGGCCACGTTGTGTTAACCTACAAGCAAGCATTTAGCTCCATTTAATATACTTATTTCATTTCTTCAAACTATATATGCTCAACTCAAAGTTTGGGCCTAGGGACGTGGCGTCTCAATCGACTAAATTCCGGACACGCACAAAGGTAATGTTCCAGCGTCTCCTCATCTTCGGTGCATGCTCTGCTCTCAGCTTATGCAGACGATATTTCAGGGGTACATGAACCGTTAATACAGCCCCAAGAATATTGTACTAAGTTCTCATTTACCTAAAATTAGTAACAGTTTGTGCTATCTACAATCTGCACTGTCCCAGAATAATTTTCCTGGGATGGAAGTGTTCAAAAACTCTAAGAATTCCTATTAAACCGTTAGGTAAAACAACTCAATTTGTACTGTATGCGCAATATAAACCGGGTATAAGAAATAAGAAAATTTGCATATCATCCGGATGATGTATATAAAGGGTGTATTTAACTGACACCTTAGAGATATTAAAGTTACATTTAATACTTTATTTAACTATAAATAGAAAGCGCTAGGTATATGTACGCTCAGGAATATCAGCAGGATCTAAGGACTTAAGAGTTTATTTATTGGAACACCATTGTGAATCTAGCTGCCGTTTCTATGTTAATCTTAATTTTTAATAATATGAATATTCCAAAAAACATTGGTTTTGGGTCGCTCTACATTTTCTTCTAATTCTAATAGATTATTATTTAGCTTTTGACCACCATGAAACAGATTGTGAGAGTTCAAAAAAAAACACGCCTCACCCTGTATTTATATCTAGGTAAAGGCAATAAAATACGCAACAAAAAAATTCTAATGAAACTCAACGTGCTCAAAAGCAGCAACAAAATGACTTGCGAAATCGCAATAGAAAAGCGAAAATAGTATTTTTGCATTACAAATTTTTATATTTTAGGAATTGAGTTCAAATTGCAAACGAAACCGGGAGCGTGTCAATTACAAAAACAGCACTACTTGAACACTCAATAAGTCATTCAACCAGTCCATTAGTCAGTCGCCCATAGAGTTATTGTATATGCTTAGCTACCGCACAAGACAACCTTCGTACGCTAAGGCAAAGTCTCCGTTGCTGCTGCTACTGCTGCTGCTGCAGTTGTGCTAGAAACACTATAATTGTTATACGGGTTTTATAAGTGCTGCTATTCCACTAGTGGGGCGGGCGGGCGTATAGTACGCGAACTCAAATTTTTTCAAAAACTCCAGCCAAGCGACTTGAAGTGAATCGAGCGCGCAACATTCGCAATTTGACTGCTTAATAGTAAGCGCTAACGTTTAATATAAAATATAACGTGCGCTCCCCGTCTGTTCCCAACGAGCTAGTGCTAATCATATCATATCAGTAAGAGCAAACAAAATGTGAAGAAAAGAGCGATGCCGCGTATGCATATAGTATGTAGAGCAGTGCAAATAAGGGCGCTCACAAAGTAAAGAATGTGTTTGTTTATTTTATAGATAACCACAGAAAAATGAAATGTATTATGAGCTGGCGCTGTTGTTGTCGATGTCGCATTGAGACCGCGTCAGCGTCATGCCATGTCTTACTCATATATTTATGTATATGCTACTATCACCAGCGTCATCGTCACTTATTCTTACTTGAAGCCACAACAATCAAAAGCATAGCATCGCGTTCGCAAACGCAGGCGGCACCGCCACCGCTGCCGTCGTCGGCACGACACAGGCAAAACGAGCTGCGCAGCGCGCCTGGCAAACAAGCAAGTAAATACCGCCTTGCGCTCACCGCTTTCAGTATATTTCTGAAGCGCGCTTTTCACGGCTGTGCATCACAAACTCAACAGAGAAACTACCTCAATTTGAATTTACATAGTATAATAAAAAATTATCGTTATGTTTCATTCGCAAAAGTAGCGCGCGCTCACACACTTTTGCGCTTATCATATCAGCGGCGCGTTGTGATGAAAACTTAACGTCGTATGTAGTGTAAGGCAGTAGACAGGGCGGCAATTAATCCTAGTCAGGCGCTGGGTATAAATAACTACAATATATATATATGTGTGTGTATGTGTACAGTAAGCTAGCGCAAGCATGTTCTGAAGAAAAAAAATTAATTATATAAAATTCAAAAAAATAAATTCAACTCAAGTGAATAATCGCTTCAAGGTAATGTGTACGCTTCACAGCTGCCAGTGCGGCTGGCTGATCTCTGAACGTCCGTAGATCGTGGCAGTGATCGAGCGTACGTGCCACGCCGAGTCGTTAACCACTTGAGGCAAATTGGCAGGCGCAAGATGCTTAGAGTGTAAACTAGTGCAAATTTTCAAAGAAAATTAGTTTAAAAAAAATTTTAGTTAAAAAAACTGTTTCAAATCATAAATTATTATAATAAAATGTTAAAAATAAAAACAACTACGATAAAAATGGAAAATTCGTTAAAAAGTTAATCGAATTTCAAATATATAAAGAATGACTCTTAATAATACCCTAAAACATAAAAAAATATTTTTAAAAACTTCTTAGTCTCGTATCTGAAGATTCATACAAATAAAGTAAAATCAGCTGTTATTTGCTTGACATTCTAGATAAGTCAGCGTAACTAATATAACAACTAACAAAGCTAATTTTTTTCTAAAACTCCGTATTTGTGTGTGTTTCTGTAGTGAGTGTTTAAGTGTTTTGGTATTAGTGTTAGTGCCTGTGGTGACGTAGTAATTATTTTGTTTTCGCATATTTCCTCAAACACAGGTATTACTAGTGAAACCGCAAAGATAGTAAGTATTTATTACTATTGTGGAAATTAGTAAAAAGCTAATACCCAAAGAAAAAAAAAACATAAATAATAATAAAAATAATATTTTGTCATTTTGTATTATGCCACTTCTGATTTTTTATTAAACTAAAAGTACTTACGCGCATTTGTAGAGGAATTCTACACACATGGTTACTCTCATACCAGTATCCCCACTCACTCCTTCTATGCATGACTCTGATGTAACTGCGCTGAAATGACAAATGAATATATAAGTAAAATACACTTAATTTTGTATGTTTAAAGTGAAGCGAGATTAAATTTGGAATTTTTATTGAATCATCGATTTGACTTAAACAGAAATAGCTTAACGTAGAAATCGCTAATAAATAAAAAGAATTAAACAAAGAAAGCTGTCTTCGGCCATGCCTTTCATGACCACATCAAATATTTCATTTTAGGAATAAACGTAAATTATCATATCTGAAGAATCGGTTGGAGTAGGACATATGGGGAAACTTTTGGATTTCCATGACTCTTAGTGACAATGTTTATTGGTACATAATCGGTTGTATGGAGCTATATTATATGGTTCTCTAATTTCGGTGACAATATGATATAATCCATCGATAGTGTGCAGCAAATCAAATTTTCGCTCGCTTACGAAATTTATGCACCAAAATCTCAATTTTGCAAAAATCTGTTGTATAAATGCTGTAGTAGTCCGATCTGACCGATTCCGACAAATGATGGTTTAAATTTAGCAATGCATCTGCGTCCTAACTTCAGTGAAATTATTTAGTTTCTTCTAAATAAACCAGATAATTATGTATCACTAGTTTATGAATCTATTATGTTTAACTTTCTTGTCAAATTACTCTTCACGATAAGCTCCGAAGCTTATTATACTCGTGTGTATAAATGCTCTCAAAATCGGGTTATCGCAGAAGAATTATTGATAATGCAATTTTTAGGTATTGCAAAGAATCTAAATTGGAACTAGTTAAACCGCTAGTCACGATTGGAAAGGCCAAGCACAATGGCGTGAAGTTATTCATTTTCTCCTGCTGCCACCTACATGTACTGCATCGAAAACTTTCAAATCTATTGTAGAATATTCTCATCTAACCGGGGCACATGGCTTAGCGAGCGTTGCCACTTTTGATTCACTGAACTATGTCAATTTCGCCGTATATTTTGCACAGCTCGTCGTTTCATCGGCTGCAGTACTCGCCGCTAGCAAAGGACAATAAATCTTAGGTAAAACCTTTTCCTTGAAAACTCCGTCACCGTCTACTGCCTATGCTACTGCGCCATATATCAAGAAGGGAATTTTGAGGGATTTATTAAGTTTGGCCTTTATTCGTCAAGAGAGAAAACTATTTTTCAATTGCCTACTCAGTGCAAAGCAGCACCTGTTGGATGATTCGGCGTTGCATTTCAAGGCTGGTATTATACTGGTTTCAACTATCAGGCCAGTTACGTTCAACTTCCTTATCCGGTCTTTAGAAACTGAACTGAAAGCGCGGTTAAGCCCAATGTCAATATGATCATCGTACTCCACTAATAAGTTAAAGAAGTCTCAATGTAAGGAATAATCTCTGAAACCTCGTTTAGTATCGAATGGCTCGGTCCTGCCGGAGCTTTTTGTCATGCTCAAAGTCAATTTAGAGATAGTGGCGTGTGGGCAGCTCCTTTTCGTGCTGTTGAAGGCTGCTTTAAAAACGTCGAAGATGTGGTGTGGAGAGGTTTTTTCCAAGATTTGGCGCATCGTTGATACCTGACAACTATATACAATATATACCAGATCTGAGCTACGTTATCGTATACAATACGCTCGATAGGACTTTAAATGGGGAATAGGCTTCAAATGATTCGATCTGGAGACGGCCAAGTAACTAGATGAATTTTCCTGTGCTGTATTATAGTGCCACAGACAATCATATTTCAGCCCACGGCAAGGCGATCCGCTTGAACCCATTTGAGGTTGTTGCCTTGTTGAGACTGATGTTCCTGACAGTTGTACCGAAAATGCTTTCTTAGGTCCTCCTGGCATCAATGTCGCCAAACACAATTTTCACATCGTGGTGGATGCAGCGCTCGTAAGTATGCTCCAGTTGCTAATAAAAGGCATCTTAGGTCCCATCTCCTTCTTTTCGGTCGGGGCAAGGGCCCCGATTGTGGCAAAACGTTCCTCTACTGGAGTGAATGCTAAAACTCGGCGACTATGTGTCTCTTCCAGCACGAATCCAGTACCAAGTTTGTGCGCTCATTTTAACGGCCGCTGTAGTAAATGTTACAAGAACTTACTTGTTCTCATCATAATCCTATTTATCGCACTTCTTGGACGGCCATGCTGTCATCCTTTTGTTTAACGCGCATATCAAACAGCGGCACCTTCTTAAATTAAGGCACCGGATATTCCAGAAGCAAGCGCTCAAATCGTAATTTGAATAGCGTTTGCTGTGCTTGTCGCCTAAGGAGGGGTGTAGCTCAACCGAGGCGTTGTTATTCTCTTCGTTGGAGACAGTTTCAATACGGCGGATTTCAAGTCCAGCACACAACCTTGCTGGGCGAGTAGATTTCAATTTAGCACACCTTTCAAGGCCGACTGGTGCACCGACGCTACAAATAGACTTCAGCGAAAGCTTAAACGGTATATTTCGGAGTAGCTCCAATGAGGCTTCCTCGCAGTCTTGAACAAAGAGTTTGTCATGTCTCACGCGTGTGCGAGTTGGAAGCAAGAGTAGGAATTATCACCCTTATATTTGTCAAAATTTTTAAGGTTTTGGGCAGAAAGTTCATCAAGAAAGCATGAAACGTACATACATATATATATATTACATACTACTCCCAACCATTTTTGCAGATATGATAATTATTATTTAATCCTAAAATTAAATACCATAAATTTGATATGAAGACAGCTCTTCTTTCTGGCCATATTTTTTTGTATTCATGGAAGAATTATATTTATTATCTGTTTTGAAAAAATCTTGACAGTTAAGGTTCCTATTTTAAAGTGTTTGGTAATGAAATAACAGTAAAATAATAATAATTTACAATTATAGGGAAATCGCCAAAAAGAACTGCATGAAAATTCTTCATCAGCGAACAGAGATAAGAAAACCAATATATGTACAAATGTATGTAAAATACTTGTGTTTGTGTGTATAAGTAAAATTAAGAAGCAAATAAATAAGTGATATGACAAATGATAGTAAAAAAACGCCATAAAAAGCAATTGTGCTGTAAAGTAGAAAATAGCAGAATTATAATGGAAAAAGTTGAAGACAAACTCACAAAGTCTACAAAAGCGTAGCGCAGAAATATACAAAAATATTCAAGTAAATAAATCAAAAATAGTATATAATTTATGTATGTACATAAGTGTTAATAGTTTCGCAATAACTGGCTGAACGAAAATTCCGTACGTGTATATGTATGTATATGTGTGTGTGTGTGTGGCGCTGTCTTAAAGCTCCAAGTGTCAACAACGAGCGCAAACATTAGTTTCATAACAACAAAGAATTCGCCATAAAATATTATCAGTGATAAGCACAAGCAGACAGCGGTGAACACACTAACAACAACAGCAATAGCAACAGCAAATATCGTAACAATAACTATAAAAATAACAATAACAATAACAACGTACGCCAATAGCAAGAAGATTTAATTAGTAACCGGCGCTGAAAATTTAAAAAAACAACAACAACAACAATGGTTAAAGATAGATTGCCCGAGCTGCTACAGGTAAGTTACGCACACAGGTGAATATATATTCAAATACACTTATAGCACATATAGCACATAGAAATGCTCTACAATCAACAGGTGATATTGTTTTGAGAGTTGGGAGAGTGTAGATAGCAGATAACAGCTCTTAGTGTACTCACATGTGTGAGTGCTCATAAAATTCTAAACTGTGTTGCCACCATGAAAACCTTGGGGAAATAATTAAAAAAAAAGCATTACATTCCGCGGTAAGACTGCAAACTGAATGGGGGTTGATAAACAACGGTCATACAAACATATTTAGAAACTTTCGTTCGTCAGAAAGGATGGACTGCTGCACACATGACAGAGGTGTTCCAGAATTTGTGACTAGATCCACTGATAAACAGAGAACGGCGTAGATAGTGAAGTCCAATCAAAGGAAGTTGCCATCTGCAATACTTTACGCCCGCCGGTTCACTGTAAGGGTTTTCAAGCGAAACTGGTGGCCATACAGGAGGCTGTCAACTGTTTAGGTCCAAAGGTATTCTCGTAAAGTATATCTACATTTTCTCCGTAAACCAGACAGCACTAAGAGCAGTGGAAACTATCAGAATAAAATCAAAGGCGATAGAGAACTGCCTTAAATCACTAAAAGCGATGGCCAAACAGTTCGTTTTAAATCTAGTATTTGTATGAGGACAAAGTAGCATAGCACTTAAAGTTATTCCTTCCCGATTAGTGATGATGGCGATGAGTCTGAGCATACCACGAGCTACATGTAAGCTCATCATAGGAGAGCCTTTCATCGTATATGGAAACTCAAGATGGAAGAGTCTCAGTTACCGCAATGTAACCAAAATAATGTCACCGACTTGGAACACAAATAGCTCGTAGGGACTTATCTCGTTAAAAATGAAATAGTTGTCCATGAGGATGGGACTTCTGTAGGAGTTGTAGATAGGAGGATAGCGGGTGTGAGCTAATTGGGATACTCAGTGGTACCACTGATTGGTGGCCTAAGTGTGATGGGCATCACTCACATCCACTTCAATCGAACATCACCTTTGACATTCCTTAAAAGCTCCAACTAAGTACCAGCTTTCAGAGAGCAAAAATTACCACTGCGACTTAATGTCAAAGATCCCTTCTCCACAGCAGCGGACATCAAAGCGTGCGCTTCTCCCAAAAGTTATCCGATCTGGGTAAATTTAGGTCCCCATTCTTTTCAAATGCCAGCATCTTGAACTGGGAGTAAGAAGCCAGCAAACTGAGAACTTGTGGCTGATCCGCAGAAATCTTTCTATCCACTATAAGAACTCGGTCTGTGCATAATTTCACAAGGTACCTAGGAACCTATATTTCTCTTCTTGCTTTGGATTCTCTATTCCGAATACAACCAGAATCAAACCCCAATTGGGAATATTTAGGGGGCAAAAAAACTCCAGGTGGTAACCCTATTGGTAGGTGTATTTTCAATTACTTCAAAATATTTACATACACGTATGTTTGTGTGATTCTGAGCGTAATTTGCAACAACAGGAAGAGGGTGGAAGTGTGCATGCAAAACAACAAATATTTGACAGAAAATAAAACTGAAGCGAATCATAGCTGCGCAGCTCAGCACAGAGAGTTCAACGGTGACAATCAGTGGAGCACGGAGCGCGTGCAGCCCGCAAAAGTTATGGCTAATAGCAGTGTATAACGGCAGTGGCTAGCGCATATTGCGCAGATTTGGCAGCACCAGCGTCAAGGCGGGCGCTTTTCAGTTTATTTAATTTTCAGACTTAGTGTTTTTTTTTTAAATTTTTTTATTTTTGTGACAAATTCTGAAAATCAAAGTTTTTATTTGCAATTCAAGCGGATTTCGCATGTTCGGCATAAAAATATTGAGAGCTGTCTGCTGCTGACCAAAGTCAACCCTTATAACTTCCCGTTAATTTTCGTTAAAATACATCAGCTGATCTCGAGCAAAGTTGATTGAGCGGAAATAAGGAAAAAAAACACGGTTAGTGTGTGCGCGATGAGGGTGGAGTGCGAATAATATTAATGAACAGGAGTGTTAAACATTTTAATGGGTAGCGAATTTATCAAAAAAAAAAATTTTAATATTTAAAAACATAACTTTTCTTGGATCTTCAACCGTGAGATAATTATTTTTCATTCTATTTGCTTTCGCAGCGCTCAGGCAGTGTACTCTCTACTGTCTCGGCAACGAATGGTGCGGTATTGTTTCAGCGTTCTAGCAACTCGGACATCAAAGCAGCAGAGATGGGTGCACCAATGGACGCGATACTCAATCCGGTAAACAAATTTGATTATTAATAATAAAACTAAAAATTTTAAGCGAACAAGTTTAATGTAGCACATTAACTAGAAATTATATGCACAATTGTATACAATATATATATGTTTGTATATACACATATGTACCTAGCAGCTTATGCGACTTCTTCTTAAAACCGGGTTGTCTAACAAAGAAATCTATTTTGAGATAAGCAGCGATGGCTGAAGTTTACTTATTAATGAAAGCTTCAAAATGTGCTAGTAAATAGTAGGTTAAATCTACAAAAATATTTGCGCATATACATACATACTTGTATATGTACGCGTATGTAAATGTGTATTTAACAGAAACACATTTTACCAATATTTACATTTTATTTAATTTTATTTTGCTTTATTTTATTTTATATTATTTTATTTTAATTTATTTTATTTTAATTTTTATTTTATGAAATAATTTTAATTGATTTTATTTTATTTTATTTTATTTTATTTTATTTTATGTCTTTTTGTTATATTCTATATTATTTCATTTCAACTTAACTTCATTTAATAAGTTTTACGGCTTTGACCGCATTTCTTACAAAAACAATAAACAAATCTTACATACTATTGAATATATTAATTAGCACTTCTTTTAGAGCAAACTTCCTAAAAATCTATTATTCTAATATATTTTAATGTATTTATTTGTGTATACATACAGTTAACGGATAATCTCGTATGTACATACATATACATATGTTCTACTATAAATGCATATACGTAATAGGCCGTTTTGTATGTCAGCATATATGAATGTGTGGGAGTGTTCCAATCGCACCTGAGGGTGAGCGTTTCTACAATAGTATAATCGTATGCACGAGAACATACATATATATGTATGTTCACATGCGTGCGACCTTATCAGCTGCCGCTAATCTACCGTGAAAGCATTATAAATATGGTATAGTTGGTGTTTACTTGGAGACTTAGGAGAAGTGTCCTTGTGTCTTCCTTCTCCCAACATACAGTCTTAGAAAGTGTAGAGTTCTCTTGCGAAATCTGTCAAAACCCGCTTTGTACTAATAGACTTTTTTTTTTGAGAATTTTAAAGATGTTTCAGTATTCAAGTATTGATATCGACTAGTATTCAGGCAGGAGCGTCTTTGGTGGTACATAAAGGAATAAAATCGTAAATTTTCCACTCCAGAGAGATCATGCGTAAAGTATATTTTCTTCGGAACCTCTGCCCTGCACCTAAATAAAATCAGAATCTATAGAGATCTGCAGAGAAAATCTGTAGAATAAGTAAGACTCGATTCGTAATATGTATACGAGGTATATTCAAAAAAAAAAGCAACAAGAATTTTCAAATTTCACGTGCTTGGAAAACTCAAGTGGCAAACAAACTTTTTTTATGCTGACTTTGAAGTATGATAAGTCTCTCAGCTGTTTTCATGACTGACATATTTGACTTCGTGGATGTCACAACTAAGGTTAGTCGTCTTTTTATGAGCTTTCCGACCGTTATGCATGCTCTCGAGCAATCTTATTCAGCTGATGCATGCACCATTTCAGCTCTTTGCCAGGCATGAAATGAAGTAGGTATTCAAACCTCAAACCAAACGTCTTTTTCATCATCATCGATTGTCGTATCGGGTGCTTCATCTCTAGGTATTGAACTTTCCCTGAAATTCAGTTGACTGGAAAAGAGAAAAATGCTTCCTCCATACACTAGGTATGTTCTGGACATTGATCAACACATTACCTCTTTGTTTCCTATATGAATATGATGCAGTCTTGAAATTTTCTGTAAGTATTTGCTCTTTTCATAGATATTTCGAGCATTACCCTTGTCAGCCAGCTTTTTAAGCTTTTCAGATCTCGGTATTTACCCCACCCCGCACGTGTTGTTTCCGTTGCGGCGGTAAGTGGGGTGTTTCAGATGCCATTCCATTTTTCACTTATATCGAGAATGCTTTCAGAAAGTAAGTCTGCAAATCGGGCTGTCTGTTTTGATTAAAACTTTTAGCCGGCCGACCTTCCTTGTGTTTGCTGACGGTGGCAAAGGCGAGTGCGTATCTTTGCCACAACAAAATAATGCTTCGAATCGATGTTAAGTTCATGAAACGAGGACAGCAGAGACATGTTTTCTGGCAATCACAACATGATCGATTTGGTTGCGCGATGTTCGATTCAGGAACAGCCATGTAGCTTGTCGAATTTCGTTGTATTGAATTATATCACAGGCAACCAAATTTCGACCGCGGTGAAGTCGATCAGCCTCAGCTCGTTTGACTAGGTTTCAACGTGGATGCTGAATTTCCTGGCTTTTGCTTCAACCCCTTAGTACCTTTTTGGCTTTAACCAAAGAATATAGTCTGCTAGTTTTTCTAGTGTCAAATTCTATTAGGCATATAAACGAAAACCGCTGCTAAACTTTATTTCTGAGAAGAACTCTCATTCGGCGCGCACTCTTAGGAAGGCAAAGCTTATTATTTGCCTCAATCACTTCACTTTCAAAATCATTAAAAATTTTGCTCACGTAGGTTCTTACATATGTAGGTATGGACGTAGATATTTAGACATAACTATTTGTATATTCACACACACACACATATATATATATATATATATATATATATATATATATATATATATATATATATATATATTTATCTATGTATATTTATGTATGTATTTGTGCAAAAATTGTGCTGCAATTCACGAATAATTACTACGTTCATAGAAACAATTGAGAATTGAGAATATTAAACATATCGACTTGTAAGTATATACATATATACGAGTACATATTCAAAAGTACGTGCATTTATGAGCACATAAACGAATAACAGTCGCAATTCATTAGAAAAGAGTTTGCAATTTCTCTAGATGCAATGATCGTGTTCTCTTTTTTTTCTTTGCTTTTTTTTGCAAAAATTTCTTATTAATTGAAAACTAATTTAAATAGATCTGCGTCATTCTAACTGTAAAATTGTTCGTGCCCGTTCATGCATACATACATGCTATATGTACATAAACATATATATGTAAATGAAAATGAGTTTTATTACATACGAAAATGCTCTTGCCCAAAGGCCCAATTACGACCACTTTTTGTAGCGATTCGGGCCTTATGCCAGCAATAACGCCTTAAATGTACTCTTCTAAGGCATCAATCGTCTTGGCTTTGCCTGTATAGGCAAGCGAATTCATATAATCCCACAAACAATAGTCCAGCGGCCGAATGCACGACAAAGGCTCGCCTCCGACACGAGATAAGGCCTAATACAAAAGTTTCCTTCAAATAAATTGATTGTTTCGCTTGCTGTAAGTCATGGAGCGCCATCTTGTTAGAACCAAAGCTCAGGAAACAGTCATTAATCATGACTTTGTAGCGTTTCCCATTGACTGTAACAGTGTGAACGGCTACATTTTGCAAGAAATATGGATTTTAGAGCACACCAAACAATGGTTTTTTGAGTATGTATGGGCATTTCCACAATGGCTTGTGGGTTATCATCACTCCAAATGCGACTATGTCGTTAATTAATGCACCCATACAACTAGAAGTGGTCTTCAAAACTTAAGGAATTTTTATTGTAAAAATCGGAATCGTTCTTGTACGCGTTGGATTTTTTAAGCCCGTAAACCAAGATCCTCCTTACGCAAAATCTTTCACAAAGTGGATATTCACAGCTGTTGGGCGCAATGGCGGAGGTACTCATTCGGGTCTTCTTCGATGTTCTGCTCCACAGCAAGAATAGCATCTTCGGTGTGCACTTTCTCCGAAGCGTAGTGCGAAACCGTTGTTGCTTGAAATACCAATACTGCTGGGCGAACCGTGCCATTATTTTGGTGATGAATTTGTACGAGTTATAGAGGTGGTTGCGGCGATAGTATGTTCATTACGAAATGGCCAAGCAAACCAAGTATAAATTAAATAAAAGCAGTCAAAAAGTACAGCTCCGATAAAGATATGGTTTTCAATGAAGCACAAGTCTAAAAAAAAAACACCCTTTACGTGCGTCTAACACAATTTTAACCCTTTTGCCTCAAATTATCTTTATATTAAGTAGAATCGAATTACTTAAGAAGACAAAAGCTTTTTAGATTGATTTTTTTTTCCTCTTTTTCGTTTCTTCGTTTAACATATCTCAATGCCGTTCATTGATAGCTGAACAATTATCATTATTTCAACACAAACACATACTTTGGAAAACTGTGTGCATAGAGACTTTGGCGATGGCAACAATCAATTGTAATATTTTCGTTAATTTTTTTTTTTGTTTTTTTTTTTTAATAAAAAAAATATATGATAATTTTTTTCCATACAAAAAAGGTACTTCACGCAGGGTTAAATATATAATTATGTGATTTATTTCCACTTACAGCTGTACATACCCACGTACACGCGTATTTATTTGTTGACTAAAAAAGTAATTTAGATTGATTAAAATGCGATTTTAGTTATTTTTTATAAATATTCAAAATTAATGGGCAATTTTTTTTTTATTATTATTATAAATTTTTTTTTTCGATAAGCGTAACTATATTTCGACCATTTTCCTAATTTCTTCAGGCATCTGGCAGCGCTAAAAGATTTTCCACAAATTAATTTCTGTAGGAAACGCTTCCCTTTCTATAGATACCGAAAGGTAGGCCGACTTTCCCAAGCCTTGCACTCGATAGCACTTCAAGGACAGAAAGTATCTTATTTTGATCTCTTTTATTAACAGAATCCTGGTCTTCGTTTTCTTGTGCAGCATGAAGATGTCGTACTGAACGATGTTGTTGTAGAACCTTTGAATATTAACATCAATCGCATTCTCCACAGAAGGTTTCTTAAATTTCAATTTTTATTCCCTCTTTCGGCTATTGAACGCCAATTGGAAATACCAAGCTCAGTGAGGTTGTTCTGAAGATCTTCCTCTTCCTTTGATTCCGCCGGCGAGTACTATATCAAAAACTTTCAAAGTTCTCATCCATTCAGGCCATATGACCTAGAGAGCGTAGCCGCTGTCTCTTGATTCGCTGAACTATGTCTATGTCGCAGTATATCTCGGGCGATATTTATTGTCTACTCGCAGAGGACTATAAGCCTTACGCAAAACTTTTCTCCCAAAAACTAACATCCACTCATCAGAAAGCTGAACGCCCTCCTTGTCTCCGCACCATATATTGTAGCAGGACGAGGACGATGAGTGTAACGTATAAGCATTATAAGTTTTGCAGATATACCACATTTAGCCATAGCGGTGTAGGTGTAGCACCTTTTCATGAAGTCGAAGGCTGCTTTGAAATCGACAGATCAACACACATCTGATCCTCTTCTCATGGATATTTGTCAATATTTAGTGCATGGTGAATATTTGGTCAAAGGTAGTTTTACTAGGTCTGAAGTCACTCTGATACGGCGTGCGAGATGTTTAACGTGAGTACCTGCCGTCGATGGCCTAACCTCACAGGGTTCAAAAACAAAACGAATCAACAGTGTTCCAATCGGCTGTGTGATATGGACACACTGGCCACCTTGGTTAGGCTCGAGGCCCATTTAAAACCTCTACCATGCTAAGGGTCCGACACCCGGTAGCAAAGCTACTCCACACCGAGTTGGCCAACTCCACTCCACACCAGCTCTTCCCGCATTTGGGTTTAAACCACAGCCACCATGATTGAAGAGCCTTGCCGCAAAGAACAGGTCGGAGCAAGTTCCGACGGCTACTGTTCCCCGTGATACCGGTTTTAAAGTCTCCGGTCAGACCTTGTAACCGAAGTTACTACCAATTGGGCTTACATATGGCCCTGGATTGGTAGCCAGGATATTAGTCAGCTCTTACGGGCCTTGCCGCTGGTGTACTCTCTTCCCGGACCCGCACGGGGATTATGTTTGATACAGTCCAATCAGTTTGTTGACGGATTACTTAAATATTTATATATTTTACAATGGAGGTGAGACATGCACCTTTGTAAGTTCTCCACCGCCGAATATGAGTAATTGGTATTCGAACTTCTTTATACTCAAGCAATGAAATATCTGTTCAACTAGCATCGATTGAGGAATTGGGAGTACTTTCAACTCGTGTTCCATTTTCTCTGCCATTCAGCAGTTTGGCGAAGTTTTCCCCCTAATCGCCCCCAAAAAGTCAGTTGGCCTACTTACTGCAAGTCGGCGTATCTTTTCAAATAACATTCGAAGCTTACTCTTATCGACCAGCTTTTCAAACTCTTCAAGCTCTTCATGCTCATACATCTCAACCTTCTTTTTTCTGCACGTCTTGCTTCTTTCTTAATCCTCGGTATATATTCCACTACGCTCATGTGGTTCTTATAACTAAAATCGTAAAAAGCGACCAATAATTGGAAGTGGGCAGCCGGGTATGCACTATCCTTGTGTGTACCCAGCTCACAGCCTACTGAGATAACTTACCTTTACCGAAGCTCCAAACTCCAGCCTTGTGGATATTGGTAAGAATGGTTGGAAAAATATAACAATTTCCAAAATCAAGTAAATTTTTCGCTAACGCATCGTTGTGAGTAAAAGAAGCCCATGATTTAAGTGGGGCAATAATCAGATGGCGACTTGGGTATCTCATCATCATCGGTTAAGTATTCCACCACTCTAAGCCCAGAGGTAATTTAGTATCACCACTTCTGAAGAATGCTCTCAGCATAAATTCAATATAATCAGGTCTCTTTTTGGCTCATTAACTAGATTTTCTTATAAAAATTATACAATTTCATGCCGGCCTCTCATCTACAATGAGGGCTCCAACTTTTTCAAGGAACAAGCGCTACATCAAATTTTTCGACAAGCCGATCTTTGAATGGCAGATTCCTATTTACAGATATGGATAATTTAAAATAATTTAAAAGTGTATAACTAATTAAATTTGCTTTGTTTCTTTTTTTTGATTTTCAGTATTCGGAGATTCGAGTACAATTGGCACAAATATCTGCGAATTTGGAGACAATGAGTCGTATGGTGCAAACTATAAATATACGTAATTTTAATGGTAGGATAAAATATTCCAATACAAAATGCACGATCTTTAATGAATTCCAGCTAAAGATTTCTATGACAACTGAACTAATTCCATATTTGCAACTTTTACGCTTACAGAAAAGGAAATGGACGAGCTTCGCACACAAAATTTAAAAATGGGTAATCAGCTGATGAACAAATTCAGAGAGTTCAAAGCGAATATGCCACCAGAGAATGATTTCACATTGGAGGCACGCATGAAACGAACACTTTTCTATGGTCTCTATCAGAGTTATATACAAGTGTGGACGAGAAATGAGGAATTCCTGCAATTGTATGAACGAAAACTGAAGAAAAATCTGGAAATGCATTCGAAAATTAGTAAATATTACAAGCGGCAAATTTTAAAGAAAATATAAGTAAGAAAATTTTTATGTATTTATATATTTTTAGTGAACTGCAACTCTACAGAAGAGGAAATTGAAGAACTGATAGCGAATAAGACAACAAATCTCTTTGTTGGCAATGTAAGTTTACAACACACACACACAAACACACTTTAGGCAAAAGTGTACATTTTAGAGTCATTAAATACGGGTTTCATTCATAGATTCTAGAAGAAACCGAAAATGAGCGGCGCACACTACGTGATTTAATGGATCGCTTTAACGAACTGAAAAAGTTGGAGAAATCCATTGAAGATGTGCATGCATTATTCCTGCGTATTCAAACACTCGTAATGGAACAGGTGGGTTTGCAACCAACGCACATTCAAATGTTTATGAAGAACTTTATTTACGTACATACCTTTATTGTATTTACAGAGTGAAACGATAAATCGCGTAGAATTTGTTGCACAACAAGCAACACATTTTGTGGATAAAGGTCAGCATAAGCTTCAGAAGGCAGAGTCACTGAAAAAGAAAGCTTTAAAGGTTAGTTTGCAATTATTTTTTTCATTAAATTAATTTGCTTTCCTGCTAGATACTCACTAGTTTATTGCCTTTTTATTAAAACCTCATCTCCTTCTCTTTGCAGAAGAAATACTGGCTTATCGGTATTACGTTGGCTGTGTTAATTATATTAATATTAATTGGTATTTATTTATGATCCAAAGAGAAATATATTTGTAATAAATTGAAAATATACTTTGCACTTTTACTTCTTACTTATGTTTTAAACGGCAACATTTGACAGTTAAAAGCGGAAATGGAAAAGTGCCAATAGTTGCGTGCATGGGGAATAAGTTACGCAAGTGGTGAAGTTTATTTTATGGTGCTGCCACCTGTGGTGTTAGGTAAAGAACAAATAAAATGAATTAATTGAGTGCTTTAACAACAATATCTACCAATTCGAACTCAAATTTAGGCAGAATAATCAGCACAATTAGAAAAGACAGCTTTAAAACCGCTACAACAACAACAAACAAATATTTTAAAACTAAAAATTATAATAAATTAAAACACATAGGGGGCATAGATAGATCCAAGAGCCATTCGTATGTTGTGTCCTCCGTAGAAAGATAATGTCCAACTTTAGTAAAAATCTAAATAACAAGATTCAATGCAAGTTGGTTTTGCGTATCGGACTATAGCCACGTACGCAAACTGGTACAACGATATACAAATTTTATCATCTCTTAAAATTTTTTACTAAGTTGCTGTTGAAATATATCCGAACATTTGACGAAATATATTTAGAACGGATTATAATATCTACATATATATATATATATATATATAAAGGTGTTTGTTGGTCATTTATTTTCTACGATCTCCGAAATTTCCGGAATGTAATGTTAAAAATTTGAGAGTTTGTTCCGTCAGTTCTCGGGCAGTTTTGTAAGAAAAGACAATTATTCGAAAAAAATATCGGAATTTTTTTTATTGCCCAATTTGCTTGAAATTTGTTACAGAGGAAACTTTACCCTTAGTTTAGCCTTCAGAAGAGGGTTAGATTTGAACGAAATACGGAGATCTGCATTTTTTTTTTTTATAAATAAAGAAGCCAACAGTTTAAGGCTAATTAAAAAGCTTTCATGAAAATTTCTTTTCATATCACAAATATGCCCGGAGGTGTGGTCATAATCTATCAAAGAGAGATCGCAATAGTTATCGCTTGTATGTTAGAATAATTGAAAAATACCATAGAAGAACGCTACAGTGGCCCCACACAGCAGGTTCTTTTTCTGTCAGAACTACATGCGAAGGGCTTGAAATTCTCTGCCGAGGGGCTGCCGAAGCTCGAACACTGGACATCCGAATGCTAAGCACTTGGCTACTGTGGCCGCGGACGGATTAATAATAAGAAACTGATATGAAAAAGATGGTAGCTGATGTTCAAAGGTAGAAACCTAAAAGCCCTAATGAACATCCGTAAACCATGGCAAATTAGTTAGGTGACACACAGTTAAAATAGACATTAATTATTGGGCATAATATTCGATTTTAGTTCGGGCCAACGAATCCACGTTTATAATATTGTTAAATACACGTATGTAACTGTAAAGTCTAAGCAAACAAAACAATCCCTATTTTTCAAATAGTTGAAACTTTTCTGAATGACTTATTAGATGTGTTCGTCAAGAGAGTCAGTAACGAAATTAGGAGAGCAAATGGTATGCTCTTCCAATCAATTTTATGGCATTTTGAATTTGTTAATTGTATAAAAAAATTTAATCAATACTGTTATCTATATACTTCACAGCCGTCAAACCCTAAGAATGCTATCAATAGTGACTTTTTCCGATAGTTTTCTGAAAGAACAAATATTTATGTAAATTTTTGCCGATTAAATTTTCAATTCTGATTTTGTGGTCTGCAGACGATGATTTCACTCCACTGATTTCACATTTTTATTCAAAGAGTGTGCCCTTACTCCGAGTACTAATTGGTTGCATCGTCGATATCACACAATTATATTTATAAAAGTATTAATTTGGTTCCTTCGTTTGTTAATACATCATCATTTTAAAACATTTTTTCTTAGCTAAGAAAAGTCACTTATTTTCTTTCTTGTTATTTCTTACTGTTCGAAAATTTCCCTGCAAATTTTGTTACAACGAACGAGCTCCAGTAACAATTGGTAAGAGTTGTTATCAAGTGTTACTGACCAACAGCTCACCGAACAGACCAGCTGAATTTTGACTTTTCGAATGGAATCTATTTTTAGTTCGAATTTCTCAACTCCAATTGGACTTCAAAATACTTTGTTAATTCGTAGCCGGAAATTAAAATCAATGCTAAATCAATGGCGACCAAAATTTAGAACAGACCCGCTGTGTGCCAATTCGATTATTTTATTAAACAAAATTTTCATTTGATGAGAACTACGTAGCTTTGCTTCCAACTTCTTTCACCGTTCCCGCACCCAGCATATCTAATATATCCCTCCTTCCTCTTGGCGCTCTTGACCTTCCTCTAAAAGAGGCACCCAAAGCTTTTTCCAAGACGCTTTCAAATGGTTAATGGATTTTTATGTGGCGATTTTGAGATATACAGTAGGTGGAGTTGACATCCACTGGCCAGGGCTAGAACTCATAACATGGCAACACGCACTTCACACCACGCAGCATCTACGGCCGCCTTTGGCAAAGTGGCGATTCAATGAACAGCGATGACGTAAGCAGTGCCTATGCTAATTAGAAGAAAGACTAAGTCGATGTATGGCAGTTAGTCATCGCCGCAATTGATGAAGTCGTTTTCCTGAACATTTTTCGGTGTATTGCACCTTCACATTTAAAATAAATAATATAGAATATCTTCGATCATTGCATGAGCAACAATGACTTACAAGTGTTCTACCGTATGAGGCATTCGACTTTTTGGCTACACATACAAAATATGGCAACATTATTTTTGCATTAATTACCGTCTCCAAAATCTCGTAGGGTTTTTGATTTGATCACCTGCAACCCTCTCAATGAAATTGTAGTATTTTCGCAAAGTGCATCAATAAACAAAAATCCTCTGCATGCAAAACAACAACACGAAATCGAAAGAAAAGGGGAATAAGAAATTTTGTACTGAGTTGTGAACACCAATAAGATATACAAATAAATGAAAACAATGTGAAAAGTGTAAAATATTAATGCGATTTGTACATGAAAACAACAGCGAATGGACGCTTGAATAGGTAAAATTATGTAGAAAATCATTTCTAGTAAAGTTTTGCAAAGGGACTGACAAAAATAAATAAAAAGTGTTAATATGCAAAGCCATCAACGAAACGAAAGTCGAGCGCCATTTTTGTCAGTTGTCAGCTTCGTGTTTTCGCAATAGAATTTGGTGAAATTTTATCGAGTAGTTTTACAATAAATCTGTCTCAAGAATTATTTAATTTGGTAAATAATGATAATTTAAAGTGTTTGGAATGTTTTGCCACGTAGTTCAATCAAAACTGTGCATCTTACGTGGAGTTATGCCGGTTTAAATTTCAGCCTGTATGCCGAAGTCGAAAGGGCGCAATTAAAATTTCTTTGTCGTGTGAAAAATTTCTAATTGACTTTCTGGAAAGATTTCCTTGCAAAAATCTTTTTATTTATTGTTAACACATTCACAGTGAAATAAATTATTGCGAAATATTTTTTTAATTACAACAGGCTTCATTGAAAATGAGCGCCAATGCGCTGGACGATGAAGAAAATCAGACTTCACTGTCGATTACGACGACAACTGTACTGCCAGGTCAAGAAATCATTGAGACTGTGGAGCCAGTGGATTACAATGAATCGGAAATTGGAATCATTGTGCAACACACGCCTATTACACCAAATAATGGCAAAGGTGTTGCTGGCGGAAAAAATACCAGCGAACGGAAAATAAGTGGTGCTACAGCTCCAAACAACGATGAAAAATTACGTGCCGAGGTAAATTCCTTCGATAAAATGTGTATGTATCATAGGAATAAATTAAACTTGATTTATTAATTCTACAACGAACTGTAGTTGGATGCTGAAGTTAGTGAGCTATTAGGTTCTGTAATAATGCATAATTGTACGGGAACTCGTGTTAGTGCACGAGTCATTAAAAAAATGAAGCAAGATCAGACAAGGCCTTTAACACCGCCAAATGAACGCGAGCCAACGAAGCGGGATGAGAAGACAATACAAAAGACACCTTCGCAATTACGCAGTAATAAATCGACATGGACTAATTTAGAACGTAATCACTTTTTTGACGCGCTCAACGAGTTTGGCAAGGACTTTGAAGCCCTCGGCAATTACATAAATACAAAACTGAAAAGAAGAAGCTCAGCAGATAATGCGTTCAAAACGAAAGATCAAGTGCGGCAACACTACTATCAAACTTATCATAAAATCTGTAAATACATAAAATTCTCTGATGGTGAGCTATTGCATGATTAATTTATATTATATTCATTCATTTATATTTTATGTCATTATTAATATTTTCAGAGGTTAAGAAACCAGCGCAGGAGTTGTATGCGCTTGTCAACTATGGTGAAATGCGCAGAAAACTCCAGTTCGTCACTGATAAGCATTTCATGAAGCTACGAACTCTCGTCTATCAAGGTCAAATAACTATTCGTTGCAAAGGAAAAAATTTACGCATTAAAACACCATCATGTAAAGCGCTGAGGCGACTAAATCAACTGGACGGTGAGAAATTCGTTTAGAAATTCTTATCACATAATAATAATTTTATTTATTATCTCTGCGAAATTTCTATTGAATTTTTTTCTTTTTAATTTGTTTAGACTCCCTTGAGGACATAAGACTTCCAACAAAAATTGAAGTGGTTGTCAGTCCCGCCAACATGGAAGCGTTTGGTCGCGTTCAGACAGTTGCACAAAATCCGCGTGTTCGTACCACTGTGCCATTACATAAGAAACTTGTCAATTTTATAAAAACGTTTCAAATTAAATGGCGTAGCGCCGAACAAAAGTTAGCAGAGGAAGAAATGAAATTATTCCCCACTTCAATAGCGCCCATGCCCGCACAACATTCACCCGATTGTAATGGCCTACAGTCTACAGATACGGCAGCGGAACGAATACCATCATTTCAAGACCCAGAAATGTGTTTTTTGCCCAAACCAGGTGTGCCTATACATCGTCCTCTGCTGAGCATAACTGAATATCTTGGTAGTGGTAATATCTGTCTTGCAGCTTATGAGGAGCGCATGGGAGTAAAAGTGCGCGGCGAAACATTTTTTCAAGAAAGAGCTGTTAGTAAGCGACCACGTACCGATAGTGGCTCAGAGAAGCGTTCGCCCGATGCAAAAAAGAATAAGCAATTCAATAGTCCACCACATGAAAAGGGTGACAACGACAGCATCGTGGCGGATGAATTATTGAAAGACGAACTTGGCATTCTCTTAGACCATGAACTTACACTCGGTAAATGCGAAAGCAGTAGCGATGAACTGAGTGACGAATTGCAAGACATACTCAACGCTGAAGTAGATGTTATGTTAAAAGATGGTAGTGAGAATTCACAAGAAGACGTAAAGGCCCCAGCTTTAACCGCAAGTGATCTGGCATATGCAAACACGCAGAACTCGATCCAAAATCAAAACCCGGCCAGTAAGGAGGCGCGTATACGGCGACAAGTCAATGCGCGCGGTACAGGACGTGCAAGTGCACCGAACTTTAAGCCACTCATTAGCGAGACGATTGTGCGACGTATACGTAAGGGTTGGACGCTATCTACAGCCGCTGATATTACGATTGGTGATTTGTATGTGGTGTTGGGTCAAGATTCGAAGTTGGAATTAGAGTATTACTGGACAGATCGACAACAACAACAACCGCCAAATATGAATGTCACAACTAACAATAGTTCAATAAGCAATACCAATAATATTAGCGGTTGTGTGGCACTTGCTGGCGGCGCTGTGGCCATGGAGAGCATGACACAGTCTGATACAAAAGTTTTCATGCAAAAGCAAAATGGCATGCCATATAATCCAAGTGAATGTGACGACCCCGACTTTCTTAAAGCCCTGTCAACTTCAAGTGTGGGGAATAAACTTAAGCATCTGCTGCTAATTGCTAATTTAAGCGAGCGTATGCGCAAACGACAGTGCTCTTGTGGACACACTTGCGACCGTAATGTAGCCAAGACGAGAGTAAGTTATTAAGGGCCGTAAATATTTACTTTTTGAGCTAAATTTTTGTTTTCCGCGTTACAGTTGGAACGAAACATAGCAACAAAAACATATGTGTCAACAAAAACTTTTGCCACAAACAACACCAATGACAACAGTAATGTGTTTCGTCAGCCAGTGGTACCCATACGACGGCCACTCTTCAACATGGATAGCGTTAAGCAGGTGAATACAGTGAGTATAATATATTTGTAAGCAAAATATGTGAGTTTTCATTTAATTTTCAAACCTTCATTTACTTTAGATGTCACGTCAAAAGCAATCAATACGTCAAGTGCTTGTGCAACGTATGCTCTTACCTGGTAGCGGCACTGCCAATAAGTCATACGACGTGTTGAATGTGTCGAATGTCGACAATACAGCGAAATTATCTGAAAATGCAAACGAAATAGTACAAAATTCTTATACAGAATCTCAAGGCAAAAAGGAAGACAATTTGTCTACAGCTAACAACACAGAAGAATCTACAGTGTATGCGTTAACGAATCAGCAAACGTCAATTGGCAATTCCACCGCGAATTTCAATTCAACCGCAAACGATTGTACTGATGTTAACGATGCTGTTGAAAGTTTGAGCGAGCCGCCGCAGTTAGACAATAATCCCACGCCTTCAATGACACATCAAATGACTGATGGCGCTCTAAGCAAAGTAAACAATGCAGATCTGATGCAAATATTTGCATCAGCAGCTGCCGATGATGCTAATAACACGGACATATCACTTTCATCTTCATTTCCCGATAGCGCCTTCGATGAGTGCACAAGTAAGATAAAGAAGAGGAAAAAATATTAAGAAATGTTATATATTATGCCAATACAAATAACTTAGTGCTAAATTTCTACTTTTGTTATTTTAACATTTTCTCATTTTAGATACGAGCTCTTTTAATGGCATGACACCGACACATTTACTGCGTGAGTCCACCTCAAACTCCCGTTGGCTTGAAGAGAATATCAATGACTTCTCTTTAACCAGCTTACTGGGGCATTTGGATGAAATTAATGCAAGTCGTGACATTTTGGCAAGTCTAAACACTTACTTTCTACTAAATAAAATGCTTATATACGAATACTTTTATATCGTAGGATCCTTCGTCGAATTTATCGGTGATCAGCGAGAGCAGCGTGGACTATATGCATAAATTTCAAGAGATTACTGCCTTAATGCAGAGTCAAGATAAAGACTAAATGCTTGCATTACGCTGAAATTCATTTTCATATACGGCCAAATGCAGGACACTCGGATTTAAATTATGTACATATATAGTAAATAATTAGTTTTATACCCTTAAACGCCAATAGTATGTAAGTAAAACAAAAAAAAGTGAAAACAACAAGCATCATTTAGTGCCCTCCCCCTAAATTTAATTAAATTATTTTCTATATGCAGGTTTAAGTTAAAAAAAGCATTCACATACATTTGCATGTACATATACACACACATTAATATCGTATTTATGTACATTTACATTTGCAACGAAGACTTGTATATTTAGTTATGCGCATGACGGAAATTCTATTAATACCTTTAAATTCTAATTTGATTTATATTTACTCGAAGAAAATGTTATTTTTCGTTTTGCGGCAAATTAACATTTATGTTGTTGCCACTCGTTAGTTACACTCAATAAAACATACCTTTGTACATATATATATATATAAATAGTAATTGCTAATTTTTAAGCCGACGTTGTGATTTACGCTATAACTACACTCATTAATTATTGTTACATAATGATGTAAATTTAGTCGAGATACGTACTTGTATATATATATATTTTTATTAAATGTCGAAAAGCCTTTAATTTATATTGTTTAGCTCTCGCAAGTGGTCTGTAGCCTTTATATATTTTTGTATAATTAAATTTATACTATACTATCTTATTTAATGCATTCGAGCGCACAAATAAACATTAATTAAAATAAAATAAAAATAAAAAAACATACAAACATAACAATCCATCCTTATGAGCGCAAAAATTGGCTTCCATTTTGCAGAAGAAAGCAGCTTACGTTAAATGTAAGAAAGAAGAGTTCGCATCAAAAATGCATGCAAAATTATTTATAGAGAAAATGTATTGTATTTAATTAAGCGTTAAAGCATAAGAAAATATTGTTACTTGTTTTGCCATTTCAAACCCCCCCCATTGTATTAACGACGGTTTGTCTATATTATTTTTCTTACGATAAACCATTACATACATACAAACATGCATATATATATATGTAAGCAATTGAACTTGTATTATTCGCGTATGTATTATTATATCATTGAAGTCTTTAAAAATGATTTATTAGTCGTTTTTTTTAAATTTTTCCTCCTTTAAAATAAATATGTAAGAAGTCCTTAAATAGTCCTTAGGTAAATACGCGTCATCCTAAGCAACAAACAGGAAAATAGTTTTAAGATTGTACTAATCAAATTAATAGCTGGCATGTGGCAAGTTATATTTTTGCCACTTAACCAATGAAACGCAAAAAAAAAATGCAATTAAAGGGTGAATACAAAACAATATTTTTAATAATCCTTGAATAAGATTTGTTTCAATTGAAAAGGTGTTGGGTGAAGAGAAATTCGCAGTGAAAAAAATATTGGGGGCGTTAGAGTAACCGACACAGAATTTGCTTATTTAGCGGAATTGAAAACCAATATCTTTTTGAAATGGTTTTATGAAACCGATTTGATTTTGCTTTTTTCGAAGATTGGCAAAACCGATATTCGAATCAGCTGTCATCACACTTCGGCAAAAAAAAAACACCAGCAATTCAATATAATTTTTGTACTGGTATTAACACATTTGTGATTTGGAGAAATAATCCCGAAAATAAAGCGCAAAATTGTGAGGAATAAGAGTAATCCACTGGAGCTGATGGAGTCAATGAAAGTGCAATTTGCATTCCACATAGACATTTGCTATATGTAGATTCATAGACCAATATCGTCTTTACAAAGAAACCTTTGTAATAGTGTTGAATGTCATTGAAGACCAGTCTATCCCACCTGTGCTTCAACTTGCAGCCAAACTGTGATTTTTGGCAGAAGACTTCTATTAACGGTCTGTGGGACTCAAATATCTCCTTAGAGTGGGACTGTAGGTCTCTGAGGTTATAACAGAAATGCTAAGGGCTGGATAACTTTTTTTTACATCATATATCGTGTTCCAGGTATTGTTGGTTGTAAAACCCATTGTTAATGACCTAAATTTTCCTAAATTTCCGCTTGCAAAGAAGCTTGCACACAATGATGTCAACGAATAATTGCTCGGTTTAATTCTGAGATTTGAGCCGATAAATCGGCTGCTGTAACACCTAAAATCGACACAAATTCTTTTTCGAAAATGAAACCGATATGCAAATCAATAATCGGAGTGCGTAACCCCTTCAACAGAATTTTGTTAGTTTCAATTCTGATTCCGACAATAAGCCGTTTCTTCAACACGCCTGATTTTCAAAACTTTCAACTGATATATACATATGTATGTAATACTTAATTGAGAATCTGCGTCTCTTTCTTTGACATTTTCTGGAATTCTCAACTGCAATATAAATATTTTCCAATTAAAGCCTATGATGCCACGTATACGCAGTGTTGCACTGGAAATATTTTACCAAATAATTAAACTCTTCCTCTCATTCTCTGACACAAATCTCGTTGGTTCGTTTGAACCGGAAACAAAAAAAAAATCGCAAATCTCCTCTCCCTTTAGCAAAATTCCGCCAATTATATAAACCAAGATCAGACTAAAAGGTCTTTCCGGGCTTGGTGCTTCAAAGTTAAACGTGGGCGCTCTTGCTCACGATACCGTGTTAAATGATCTTTTCACTCTGTCATCCTCATCCATACGAACGACATGTCCAAGCCATTGTGGAGCTCATACAGTTCATGGTTACATCTTCTTCGATACTCTTCCCCTACACGGACGGGATCATAGATCATGCTTAGAATAGTCCTATGGAATCCTTCTAGAAGATTTTCAGCTTTTTTTGCCATTATCCACGCTTCTAAGCGGGACAAAAGGACGGACATGATGACTAATGTTACCTGTTGACCTGTGACTAGTTCACCAAAACAGCTTTGGCCGGGTAAAATTTGTATCAACTCCGCTGCGTAGAACCGGCTGTCGTGAGAGTTGAGAGATGATACTGGGACAATTAAGATCTTGTCTATACAGACTTAACTCGGACATATCCAACGTACGGCATGCACTAATCACTTTGCATGATCTTAAAGCCAACTAATCTAACCCATCAAAACAGCTCGTTTTCTTGGCCCCTCGTTTGATGACTTCGGTGACTTATGCTGATCTTTCCACGCTCATAGGCGGGCCTAGTGAACCGCTACAACAACAACAACAACGTGGATCATGATGACAGATTTATACAGAGGGCTCTATGCTTTTCATTAGCCTACTCAGCCCAAAGTAACTCCCGTTGGCAAGAGTTATTCTTCGTAGTTTTTAAGAATCTACAGTCACATTTTTTATACAGTTGGTACATGTTGTCTTAGTACCTTATTATTATCTATAACCTTTTGCAGTTTTTCTGTTATCTACATAATTCCAACAGTGTACAGCTTCTGTGGCTTATGGACGTAAAACTTAATGCTTTTCAGCAGCTCTCCCGTCTGGTAAATTCTCAACAACCAAGCGAATTCAGCAGAGACCGAAGCAAATTGTAGTCAGATGCCTCAAGGTCTAGGTGGGATATGTGGTCCAAGATCAAAACTTTTCAGCCATGCTCCGACAATTTTTGTCTGGTAATCAAAGCGGTGTGTAGTCTAGCGGTGAAACACAATACCTTTGTTTCTATTGAGCCAATATAATCGCTTTTTTTTTTTGAAGACCTTGTCGAGGGGTTAAGTATTGAACGTGGAGCTCAAAATTGAGCGGTTGTAGCAACTCATAATGGAGAATTCCATTCCAATCACACCCTAGACTCAGCCACACCTTGCTTTCAGTTTATGTTGTCGATAAGAGACACGCAGAGTGAGTCAGCGGAGTTAAACTGATCATATGTAATGGCTCAGCTACGATGGGGTTAATAGAGCAAGCGATTTCAATTCTCTAAAGACAAGGCGACAATACCAGACTAATGGTGATGGATAAAACCTTGATACCTGTGATCTCTAGCTTAAGGTATGGCTCGCATCGTTAGTGTAATTGGAGGATGCGATGCAATTGATTTAGCCACAGAATTCGAATAAACCTACGCTAAATTGGAAGGTGGGGTCAACGCATCGCTTAAAGAAAAGAAATGCGAAAGATAATAACGCAAATAGGATAGATGCATGAGAAATCGAAAATGAGCTTTGTCTGGTTCGAACTGTCATGAAAAAAGCACAAGAAACTACGGTAGTTGGCTCAGTCATCAGAGGCAGTGGACGTACAGCGTATAAATGCTGAAGACGTTTAGATAAATCTACAGGATAGTAATATAGCTTTCACCTTGCTCCGTTAGAGAACAAGTCGCTCGTCGTGGCCTTGTTCCAGCAACCGTGACTGGCAGCTTGCGGAGAGGTTTCTGAATAGCAAGCTTCGACTTAGTCTATATGGAGTCAGTGAGAAGGGTGAGAGCCGAGATAATTTTAGAAACGAATTTACATTACTCATTCTATTCTCTAATTCCAGCACTGGAAGCTTGGCGTCACATCCTAGCGTCATGCTACATTGCTCATTATGAAATATCGAGCACTATATGCCAAGCTGAACCGATGGTCATAAGTAATGGAAAAGCTTCGGTGAACTACTAGAAAATGTTGTTCAGAAGCCCGTAAAATAGTTTTGAGAACGAACGAAGTTAAGTTTCAAACGCGCTTAACACAGAATTAAATTTTTGAGTCAACTTACATCGAGTCATCTATTCCGGGACCATATAATATGCCCTCTGCGGCTTCGGCAGCTTCCAAAACATCGATCTGGTCTTGTCTACGAATCATTCTTCCATCTCGCATGCTCTCATGCGCTTTGCGTACGGAGATCGTAAGCGCCATTCATCTGCTTCATTGTATTTATTTCAAACAAATTGTATGGCCATTAGGATTTTTGACACTTGTTTAGCGCTCAACGCTCCAATTTAGGGATAGCAGTTATATGCGACAACAAAGCAGCGGGAGCTGACGGCCTGCGGGCAGAACTATTCAAACATGGCGGTGAGAAGCTGAAAACAGCTACTTTGCAGAATATGGTCGGACGAAAGCATACCCGACGATTGGAATTTAAGTATGCTCTGCCCATTCCATATGAAAGGGGACCCCACAGTCTGTGCAAATTACCATGGAATAAGCCTTCTTAGTATCGCCCATAAATCCCTATCAAGGGTATTGTGTGCGAGTCTAAAGCCAACCCTCAACAAACTGATTCAACCTTATCAGTGTGGCTTTAGACCAGGTAAGTCGACCATTGTCCAGATATTCACCATGCGCTGAGTCTGGGAAAATACAAGTGAAAATAGGATCCACACTCACCACATCTTTGTCGATTTTAAAGCCGCCTTCGACAGCACGAATAGGAGCTGGCTCTACGCCGGTATGTCTGAATTTGGTATCCCCGCAAAACTTAGACAGCTGTGTGGACTGACCTTAAGCCACACTAAAAGCTCATCAGAATCGGCAATGGCCTTCCCGAGCCGTTCGATACCAAACGAGGTTTCAGACAAGATGCCTCCTTATAGTGTAACTACTTTAACTTTATGCTGAGAATAATACGAGCTGCAGAGCTGAATAGAGAACGTACAATCTTTTATAAGAGCTGCTGGCCACTATTACTGCCTTCTCCAGACTCGATAAGGAAGCTAAGCAAATGGGTTTGGCAATACGAACTACCTCATGTCTTCAAATAAACAGTCATCGCATTCGTGACTCGGCTCCCACGTCACTGCTGACTATCATAACATGAAGTCGCAGATAACTTCGTCAATCTAGGAACCAGTATTGACACCCAATAATAACGTCAGCCTTGAAATCCAACGCAGAATCACTCTTGCAAACAGGTGCTACTTTGGACTGTGTGGGCAATTGAAAAGTCAAATCCTTTCTCGGCGAAAGAAAACCGAACGCTATAAGTCCCTCATCGTTCTCGTCTTTCTTTATGGTGCGGAAGCATGGCCGATGAAAACATTTGATGAGTTGGCGTTAGGAGTTTTCGATAGAAAGGTACTGTACAAGATTTATGGTCCCCTATGAATAGGGAAAGGCAAATACAGCAGCGGATGGACGATGAGCTGTACGAGTTATACGGCGAGATTGATATAATTCAGCGAATTAAGAAGCAGCGGCTACGCTGGCTAGGTCATGTTGTCGGGATGGTTTCGAATACACCAGCTTTGAAAGTTTTCGAAGCAGAGGAAGAGGAAGACCTCCATTCCATTGAAAAGACCAGGTAGAGAAGGAGCTGGCTGTACTTGGTATTTCCAATTGACGCCAAACAGCAAAAAGAACAAAAAGAAGAAACGAATTGCGCAATGTTGTTAACTCGGCTGCAATCGCGTAAGCGGTGTCT